AAAAAAAAAAAAAAAAAAGAAAGAAAGAAAAGAAAAAAAGAAACATGGTGGATAAGAAAAGAAGAAAAAGCATAAGGCAATGAAAAGAGTAGGAGAAGAAAGAAAACCCAGAAAGAAGAAGGATTAGAACAACACAGTATAAAATCAAATGGTTGGGATGAATTTCTTCGAGTCATCCTGCTGTTCCTGGAAGTTTTCAGGGAACGCAGCAATACCGGCAATGATGCCGATAGCCATGAACAAAATAGAAATAAGGGACCAGATCACGCCCCAGCAGCGAGAGGAGCCGCCGTACCGCTGAGCGAAGACGCTGGCATCCGACGTGTTCACTTTTCGGATGATCAGGTCATCACACTGTTGCTGTTAGTATAAAAGGGGTACAGGGAAGAGCATGCACACTTACAATATCCCACACGCTATATAAAGCGGACATGACACCGATGAAAAGCTATACTCCAATAAGTTTCTCATCCTCTACCCAGGCCCATAGTAAGGGAGGAACTCACCACAACCCATCTCAACGCCTCGCCATGCGCAATAAACCAACACGCAACCAGCAGTCCCACAGCAAGCAGGACAGTGACGATAGTCAGCCAATCCCTGCGCGCCCACCACAGCGTGAGCAAGAAACAGACGCCGAGCACGATACTGGCGACTTTGCTCGCCACGATGTTAAAACCCGCGAAGATCAGCAGGGCGCCAATGATTGACGACCCCAGGTAGCCAGCGGGCAGCGTAATGGCGCTGATTCCGCCCTGCATGCGCGTCACGCCGCCTTCGTGAGGGTCAAGCTCGATGGACTTGACTCTTCCTCCGGTGCAACATGCCATGATAGCATGGCCGAATTCATGGAAGGCGATTACCAACATCTGCCCATGTCAGTATTGTGATCACGTTCTTTTTCATTCCTTTTTTTTTCTTAGGAAGGGAGACATGTGATTTACTCACTTTAAATGGCCACAAGGACCACCGAACATAGGGCAAGTTCCACAATAGAGCGATGACCACCACATAGGCACCCATTACCCCTAGCGTCACCGACTGTGTGTGGTTGACGGTGAGGTCTCGTTTATGGACATGGGTTTCTGCGGCCTCCAGGACCCTCTTCCCGAGGAGCTGATAGTATGGGGCCATGTTGAAAACGATATGAATATCCAAGGGCGTCGTTCGACTATACAAGTGGCTACTCCCGTGGTGGAATATAAAAACGGACAACCCACCACCTTAATGAAGGCTGCCTACGCGTCTGGCGCCCGCCCTGTCAATACCTTCCTTAATCGGGTTAGATCGTGGCTGGGCGGCGTATTTTTAGCACGTCTTGGCGCGGGTCTGAGTTTTCAGGCACCTGATTAGTCGTTGGGTATGCGGAGAGCTGGGCCAGGCTGGATGGCGCCCAAGGCATGAATATGTAGTTCATAAGTTTTTGTCTTGAATGATCTCATATCATCGTATGGACTACTTTTGACATAGGGCTGTCAAAACTTGGCGTCGATAAGCAAGTTTTATAATGAACTGGCAATACATTTGGTTGATCAGTGGATGACTGGATTTCGAGAACTTTGGCGAGAAATTCCTTTGGCCATCTTCGGTCTTGGACTATATTATCTAAAAAGAATATAGATTATGATACGGAACAACACCCACTGGCTTTACATGTTAATAAAGTCCAATAAATATTCTGGCTCCGCGCCTTAAATAGACAGGATAACATTGATGGTGGAGCTTGGGCTCACATAAAACATAGAATTCCGGATCATCTGCGCAAATGGGCTAGCAGGCTACTACTTCCTTGGATGTAAACGTGTAGCAAGTATGCAATGTCTCCGAACGTCCAGTTCTAGAACTCGCACTCAGCGAGTTCACATCACACTCATCTTGCCATACTTTATAACCCCACATCACTGGCTTCAATGCGGCATCACAGTCGTCGGGTGGAGGATGACAAGCTGCGCTTATAGAAGCACTCTTCTCAGCAGCCAGGGGCATCGGAGAATTGAACCAACGGTTACTTAGTATATGAAAGATAATGGAAAGTATACCCGATGTGAGAAGAATAATAAACATAGGAAACGGCGAGTAGCCGCAACCTCGCACAGCCTCCCCGGCAACGGGTTCGTCGTGCACATCATAAGCTATGATGTTGACGAAGAAGATGCTTTGCGAAACAAGCCAGTGCAACGCTGCAGAAATTGAGATCAGCGGCAGGCTGTATCTGTAAGGCAGACTTAGGTAGTAGGTTGATCGCTGTTCGCCTTTGGGCCAGGAAACTCGGAGTGGTCTTCTTCGGACGGCGTAGTCGTTGAACTCTGCAGCTGCCAGCATGGATGTCAAAATCCCATTGAACAAGGAATATAGGATAGATAATGCTAGTTGTGGTGTGTTGATGAGAAGGACCAGTGATAGAGTATTTTCTGTTATCCCTGGGCTCTTGATTATGTTGTTTCCTCTAAACTTTCCAAAGCCCAAGTCCCACGCAGCTGACAAGGTGCCTACCCAATAGGATGCCAAGAGGAACATCGCTACAGAAAGTAGCGCACAGAAGGCAAAACTAGAAACACAAATAAGTCAGAGCACAGCGATGTCAAAGCAATAGGGAGGCGACTTACAAAGTAAGGGCCATCGTCCATCGTTTTGTGCTAACAGCCCGATACCACTTTTTTCGTGCCCCCGGAATAAATTCTTGAACGGTTGCTGAGAATGCTTGTCTCCGAAAAAGGACATTCATTGGAGCTAGTGAGGTATAATAAGCCTGACGATGTATGTACTTGTCTTCATGTTGACTAGGCCCTGGTAGAACAGAGGAGGATCTCGATCTGTCAGACGGACGCATCTTATTTCTTTGGTCTTGGGTCGCCTGGTCCGGATTTGCCAGGAAAGACGATATAGCATCGCCAACAGTCAATAGGAGATGTGTCCGACTGGTTCTGGCTGTCAAATACATACAGGCGACTTTGATCATATTCGAAACAATAACAACAACTGCAATATTCGGACTGAAAGTCAGCTGGCAGAGCGGTCTTCTATGTTTGACCATGCACCGCGAAATGGGTATCTCTGGGAGAGAACATCCAAAAAAATCACCGTCTAAGCCAATCTGGTTAGAGTATGCTGGGTCTTTTCCTTGTTCAAAAACAACACTTGCGGTCCATGAGCTATTAATCCATGTTTCGGGGGCAGTTAAATACTCGTGGATTGCCTCTTTGTCTGGGTTGTCGAGGATCACGTACTGGCAAAGCTTGTTGAGGTCGCGTTCCCAGTACTCCGAAGCTGGTGCGGCAAACATTGCAGTGTCCCCACCGATTGTCAGATTGAAAGAGGCCTCCTGTGAAGGGCTCTCATAATCGGGCACAGTCACTTCCCACGACGGGTATTCAAACCGTAAGACTGGTACTTTGAAATCATGGTGTTCCACCAGCTCCTGGGTTGTTCTTTTAGATGCCGTAACGTAGCCATACAGTGACGAGGCCAGAAACGGCGTGTTCTTATCTTCTGAGAAAAGTCCACTATTGATCCTGGCTTTCAAGACTGTTGTGTTATGGAAGAAATGACGGTTTGTAACTGCAATGAGAGTGTCCAAGTCACTGTTGAACTCTGTGTTGTATGTGTCCAAGCATTCCTGCGCTTCCACATCTCTATACGTGCCGTCGAAAATCTCAGTCTGTATATCAGCAGCGCTAGTGCCAACGGTATTGAAAAAACCACGTTCAAAGTTGTCATCTTCCGCCGCAAAAGGTTCATTGGAGGCCAGATCGTCGGGAACTAATAGAATAGCATAGTCCAATGCCGAGACCGTAGAATAGATCACCGAGTTATATCTATCAGATAGTCGATGATTAACGGTCATGAGACTCTCAATTGGAAAATGTTACACTCACACCATATGGATTGGCGTCGATGTTACCAAAAGCAGTCCCCACAAGATCCGCTGTTTATTGTTCAGGACTGAGAGATTCCGCACACTGAAAGTACCAATATCCAACCACATGCGTTCCCGATGGGCTTTGTCGACATCAGCTCGGGAAGGCGCACCCAAGCACTGCATCACATAGTTACTGGCAGCGAGGAGCAAAGTGCTGATAACATTGATCAACACATGTAGTCCAGTGGCCCAATGACTCGCCATCGGACAGCTTCCTTCGTAAACATTTATTGCTTGGAAGCTTCCTCCATACTTTGAGAGGCCGAAAGCAGTCGCGATAACTGTGAGGATGACATTGAGTGCCAGAATTGCCCCCGCCCCATAGGTGCACTGTAATGCCCCTTCAATCCACTCCCTGCCTTCCTCATATGTATTCTGGCTCAGTGCTTTTGGCGACGGAGTCGGAATACTCAATAATGACGACATACCGAAGGCACGCTGTTTTTGCTTACGAGTGTCGCTCGACAACGCCTCCTTGGGGACATCACAATACTTGATCCGCGGTAGCCATGAGAATGCTGCTAGAAATCGCCTGTTCGCTTTCGCCATGTTTTCAGTCGACAAGTGAACCAACAGAGCGGGGAGTAATAGGATGTATTAAGGACTATAAAACAAATGAGACACTAGAAACCAGGGGTCAATACCGGTTCAAGAATATGAAAATGATGGAAATCGGATCCACATGACTGAGAATGGAGGTTGGAGATTGGAGCTCTATATACGAATGGTTTCCAATTACCAACTGACCATAAGCCTCATCCCCGTCCAATGCACAGCCTGATACCCCTCTTTGAAGAATGCATGACAAAACTGAAGAAAAGTCAACGTGTTCGCCCGCAGATAGAAACTGAACAAGTACTTGCTACAGGTATGGCTGTAGACATCCACTCCAAAATATTCAAGGGATAGCATGCCCCTTCTCTTTTCACGCCAAAATAGAGAACTTACTATTTTTAGTAACTGGTACTTTCTGTAGGAAGCCAAACAAGAATGTCCGAAATGGATAGGACAAGTAATCAGGTAAATATAGTGACAGAAAGTGGTGTATTTCATATTTTCATCAATCAGTGATAATTAGGGCCAATCCTGTATGATAGAAATGACTATCAAGCTATAAGAAGTAGGAATGTACTCACTAATCAAGTCCTGTATCTCACGCCAGGCCAATACACACTTCTTATTCATGAACTTTGACCACAGCCCACATTATTTAACCATCTGTCTCCTTGGTTCACGGCTTACCTGCGGCGGGCTTTTGCGAGTAAGCTTGCATGTAGACTTTCTTTGTAAGCTGGCTTACTATTTTACAAAAGTTGCCTTCCTGGATATAGGATTAGAAGGATGTATCTCAGACTCTAGACACCATCGATGGTAGGGCCAAATGGTAAATTACCAGAAACTGCAGATTCCCGCGCAAGTGAACGAAGTGTGGGCTATACTAACACAAACTCTGTTTCATGAGCAGTAGTCATCTGTTCACTATCAGAGAGTCTCAATCTCTCACTTACGTCAGCCTAAAAAACCCAGGGAATCTGGTTATCTCACTAGAGGAGACGACTGCAATCAAGTGAGCTTCGCTTTGAATCATCGGGCATATTGATCCGCATCATATCTTAGATCCGCCACCATCTTTCTTAATTTCTTTCATCTTCAAGAACTCCGCAGTCATTCGAGAAGGCTCTGTTAGCTCTCCGTTCTTGCCACCTTCAAATGACTCTCCAAATACTGATATGCCTGCTCGAATCCCCTCGTCCAACCCCAGCCGCTCCCATTGCAACATGAGTGCCTTTTGCTGCCGAACAGCCACCGGACCATTCTTCTGCAACTGCTGAAGCCAGTCATCTACGGCTCGGTCGAGGAGAGCTGGCTCGACGACCTTTTCAACCAGACCCCATTGAAGAGCTTCCTCAGCTGCGACATCCTCACCGAGCAGGAGCAATCGACGCGTCCGTCCCCAGCCAATTAACCCAGGTATTAAAGCTGTTTCAACCACGCTTGGTACCCCAATGCGCACCTATTCACATTCAGTCCTTTTTCTATCTCATATCATATAATACACAAAGAAACGTCGAAACCAGACCTCTGGCATCCCAAAGACAGCGTTGGTGCTAGCCACCCGAAAATCGCAGGATGCAGCGATGGCCAAGCCCGCTCCCAACGCGTAACCATTGATTCGCCTGATCACCGGAGCTGGACACTCTCAAATGCTCTTAAAGGCGAGGTGGAATTTGGTGATGAACTGGCGGGCTGCTGCGGGGGTGTCCACCATGCTTATCTCGTCGACGTCGGCACCGCCGACAAACGCCTTGCCGCCTTCTCCGGTAATGACGACTGCCATCAAGTTAGGATATCGTTGAGGAAGCTCCTGAATTGTTTTTGTAAACAACTCCAATAGAGACACATTTAGGCTGTTTAGCTTGGATGGCCGGGAGATGGTGACGGTCACCACGTCCCCGTTTAGACGTTGCGCGACGCTGGTGACGACTTGCGCTGCAGTTGGGGAATTCATGACAACGAAGTCTTACCCATGTTCAAAGAAACAGCGAGTTTCTTGTTCGTTATCCTGTTATATATTTCTCCATTACTAGGCTTTGGGTGACCACCCGCCACACGCACCCCGGTCGTTGATGGACTGTCTCAACCGAGGTCAGGTCGCTGCGTCATCACGCGATAGATATCATATATCATGCGAATCAGAAGTAAGTAACTCGAATAAATCAGGATTTTAGGAGCTAGCCACAATCAAAACTTGGAATGTTCCTTGAACACCCCATGTCTTCCCTCGCCGCCACTAAACCTAGCAGCACCCTTCACACTTTCCACTTCCAAGACCGGCATGGCATGAACATGTTCCCATCGCAGCGCATCCTGCAACGAGCTCGCCTGATACGCACTGTAATAGCACGAGTCTCTATCCTGATTCATGGTAAGTTGCGGGAACCTAGCCAACTGCCTTGCAATCGCAGTAGCCTCTTCGAGGGCCTTCCCCTTGGGCACCACACGACTCGCCAGCCCCATAGCAAGCGCCTCTCTAGCCCCCACAGCCCGCCCCGTCAAAATCATATCGAGTGCCCTTCCCATCCCAACAACCGCCTGCAAACGGACTGTCCCGCCGTCAATCAGCGGGATGCCCCATCTTCGACAGAAGACGCCAAACACGGTGTCCTCTTCCACGACCCGCATGTCGCAGAGAAGACTCAACTCCAGCCCGCCAGCGACCGCGTAGCCCGCAATCGCTCCAATTACGGGCTTCTTGACCTGCAGGCGCGACGGTCCCAGGGGTGCCAATGACGGCTCTCCTGAGGCGGGGGGCTCGCCAAAATGGCGCTGGTATTTGGGCAGGGCGTCTGCACTGGTGGCGGTGGTGCTGCTGGTTACTTGATGGAGGTCTGCCCCCGCGCAAAAGGTATTTCCCACCCCTGCGAGGATGCATACCTTTTGGGAGGGATCGTCTTCGAATGCGCGAATTCTCTCGTAGAGTGCCTTGGCTGTTACCGGGTCAATGGCATTTTTGCGGTGTGGGCGATTGATGGTAAGGGTGGTGACTCCATCTGGAGTGGAGTGGCGGAGCACATTGCTAGACATGATTTTGGCTTCTTTCAGTTCAATATGGTATGTTGTTCGGAGTATTCCTATTGCGAACTGATGCAGAAGGGGATTTCGGGAATTCCACGCCTGCGGTACGGCATTTGCTGGATATATACTCCGCAGTGGGTGACGAGGCTACGAGATGTTGAAGCAGTACCTCGGTCCGAGGCGCTTACGTTCACGCGCTGGCTCTCTTTGGCAAGGCTGAGTATTCTTCTCTTTGACGAGGCTGAGCATCATGAATTCTGATGACCATGTACTTTAAGAGCATTGTCACTCTGCAGTATGACATAACCAGTTCACTACATTCCCAGATCGTTCTTAGCCTCGAGGTTGTTGTGGTATGATCACCTTCAGGTATCGGGTTCATAGATTGGCTGGCAGCTAGCTCTACACAACCTGCTAAAAGTCTCACCGAAGATGGGCTAACCGGTTCCAAAACCCAAAGTGACATGGTAATCTTTGTAGACTAGTTGGAGTAGCTATCTTTTAGTGCGAAATACCCCACCCGCCAAGTGGGTAGGGCACTGCTATTAATGACGTCGATGTTTGTCCAGCTGACTATAATATAGTAAAGTGGCTTGCCAGAGCCATTAGCGCAGCACACCTGAACATGTCGGGGAAATAGCAAATTGAGCTGAGAGATAGACAAACAGCCTTGACAAGACAATACTTCTCATAGAGAATTGACGATTAAAAGCAAGTCTCAATCTGGACACATCTCAAATGGGGTTCATTACGTTTGGGTGTGTGGGTTTAAAGGTTTGACACAATATTGCATACCTCCCTACATCCACTTGAGCTAAAGACATTCTTTCTATTAGTTGTCGTTGGTATAAACCTCCTGACAGGTTGCCAAAGTATGCCACAATCCATACAAACTAAGTGGTTTCTCCACAAAGTGTACTTCACCTCCCCTTACATACCCGACAATCCTGGGACATCCATCTCTAGCCAATGGTAGTGGACCTGGTTTGCAATTGCAATCCAATCCTTGCTTGCTTGTTTGCTGGAAAACCAATTTCTTGCTGTTGTTTTAGCAGTGGCGTAGCTGACCTGGGGTATTCGTCCACCTCGTTGATCCATTTGGCTGAAACAGCTGCAAAATTCAAGTCCATAGGATGGAACTTGGGGCTGCGGGTTTGATTTCAGCCAGGCCTCACAAGTCCCACTACTTTCACCTCCTGTTATGACGATTTTTCTATTTTTTTTTATCGTGTTTCAATACATCCCCTCGCGGTCCCTTTTGCAGATTATGGCTTCCTTACATGGGAATATCCTGCTAGGTAGCACAAGAATGCCGGCCGCGTGCATGGTTTCTGGTTAAATATGCAGTAACAAGAACAACCAGGGGCTACATCCACAGTAACATGGTCAAACACAACATGAGTTGAGCTGGAGAACATCAATCAGATACAGCAAAACCTAATAACGAACCCCAAGCATAGGCAATTGACAAGCTATAAAGGCAGCCTTTCTCCCACTGTTGTACACTTTCTCATCCCATATTAAAACAATCCAATCCAATCTACCACCCATCGAAGCCTTTGAAAACAGATCATCTTGGATCTACCAAACCTCTTTTCGAAAAACCACCATGAAGCTCCTCTCCGTCATCTTCCTGGCCTGTGCCACCGCAGTCATGGCCCAACGCGGCCCTGGCGAGCCTTGTGCCGCCTATCCAGGTGCTTTCTGCAACCCAGGCTTTAAATGCGAGCCCAATCATCCCGGAGTCCCTGGAGGACAGGGTCATGTAAGTGATATTGATTGATTTTGATCCCACCAACAACTAACTGTTCGTGCAGTGTGTCCCTGACTTCCACATCAACGACGAGGATAATTAAGTCCTGTCGGTCAAATACAACCATCACTTTGTGAGGTTGTTGTTGGAGGACCTTGGGTATATTCAGGGAGTATGCTATGAGAGTTGTGTCCTGTCTCTTTGGTGTACTCTGTCATCTAGACCGCCAGGGGTGATAGATATATCAAGTCTTCCCTTACTGTCAACTGAATGGGACATATCGAAATGAGTAGACCAAGTTATCAGCTATTGAGTAGGACCAAAATGTATCAGAGTAGAAATTTGGTCTTGTAGCCTGTTATCAGGATTGATGGAGCCGCTCGGGTTGCGCGACTGTATGGTAATGTCACAATATAAGATGGTATGAAAGATGCCCCACAGAGCCCAAAAGTGTCTGGATATCTTTTGTAGCTGAATGGTGTTCTTTCCAACAACTCTGCATTGACCTGAGTGTAGATCCGGTTCCTTGTGATCTAATTAGTGCCTTGCTTCTATGTTTCATCGCTCTTGAATTTATCTAGTGACATGAATGTGAATTATTCGTTGACTTAAACCAAGTAATCACAATAAGGTGACAACAATAATATTTTATGCGGGAAAACACCACAAGTCAGTCGGGACGTTGACTAACTACATGTCTCGCAGTCCACAAATACCAGCTGCATGCACGGTGGCTGGGTGGGCATGCATCACAAGGACAACAAGGGGCTACATGTACAATCCATACTAAAACGTAAAGTGAGCTGGACAATCCCAGCTAAATAAAGCAAAGCCCAAGAATGGGCCCCAAGCAGGTAATTGGCAAGCTATATAAGACAGCTTTTCCCCTGCTACTGTACTCTATCTCATCCTGCCTCAGTCTAATCCAGTCTACCACCTATCAAATCCTCTGAAAACCAATCCTTTTTGATCTACCAGACTACCATGAAGCTTCTCTCCGTGATCTTCCTAGCCTGTGCCACCTCAGTCATGGCCGAAATTGGCCCTTGGCACCGATGCAACACCTACCCAGATTCTGACAAATGCACACCAGGCTATTTTTGCGCCACGACCGCTGGAGGAGTATGGGGTTCTGTAAGTAACATTAATTGATTCCGATATCGCCAGCGCCTAATTGTTCGTGCAGTGTATTCCTAAGGAAGACGAGGATCATTGAGGCCTCCTGGTCAGATACCAGCATCTTCTTGTGGGATTTTGCTGGGGTTTCTCTGGTATATTAGAAGAGTACGCTATGAGAGTTGCCTCCCTGTTTCTTTCAATATGCTATTTAACATAGTTACCCTAAGGTGAATAATATGCCAGGTTGCTGTATACTGCCATTGAATAGGGGGCTATTTAAATTACTTTAAGCATGATATTTCGAGTGGGATCAAAATTTATTCAAGTAGGAATAAGTAGAAACAGTGTTTTGAGTCTGTTACCGGCTTTGGCAGAGACAAGTAGATTGTACTCCTAGTAGTATACTGATCCCTGACCCCGCTAATCGGCTTCCTTTCGGTATCCACACACAGTGCATGATGCTTTTGTACCTCAACCTTAGTGGTAAAAAGGGGTAAAAAGGTAAAAGTCTCAACTATAATAGCTGAACAACTATGGCATTGAGTTGAGCGATGACAAAAAAATGACTAATATGGATGGACTAGTTAGTTAAACTAAATGATGCGAATATAACTAGCCAGATGATTCAGTCTTTGTCTGCCCCCACCTAGTCGTGTCACCTCCATGGAGGGGCCGAACAAACGCCCATCAATTCCTCCTCATCACCACCTTGACCCAGCTGCTCCATTCTCCTCCCATCTTTTCTTCCCACCTGTTCTCCACACCTTATAATCCCCCCTGTGTCAGCAAAGATGGCGCAAGCAAACTTATCCAATATCCTGTCAGCCGCGGCCGTGGACCTCGCCCCTTACGAGGATCTATACAAGCATTTCCACTCAAACCCCGAGCTGTCACTGCAAGAAAAATCCACCTCCGAAAAGGTCGCCGCCCACCTGTCCGCGCTGCAATCGTTCGAAATCCACACCAACATCGGAGGCTACGGGCTGGCAGGAGTCCTCCGCAATGGCGACGGGAAGACCGTCCTCCTGCGCGCTGACATGGACGCGCTTCCCGTCCAGGAGCAGACGGGGCTGCCCTACACGAGCACAGTCACCATGCGCGACCAAGACGGTATTGAGAAGCCCGTGATGCACGCCTGTGGTCACGACATGCACATGACCTGTCTGCTTGCCGCTGCGGAGACGCTCGTGAAGAACACGCACGCATGGAGCGGGACGCTGATAGTGCTGTTCCAGCCGAACGAGGAGCGGGGCGGCGGTGCGCAGGCGATGGTCAACGACGGGCTTTACTCGAAGATCCCCCGGCCTGATTATGTCTTCGGTCAGCATGTGATGCGCCTGCGTGCGGGGAGTGTGGCATCGCGGCCTGGCACGATCATGGCTGCTGCTGATAGCATGAAGATCACGCTCTTCGGGCGTGGGGGCCATGGGTCGCTGCCGCATCAGACGGTGGATCCGGTGCTGTTGGCAGCGCATGTTGTGGTGAGGTTGCAGAGCGTTGTGAGCAGGGAGGTGGATCCCAGCGATCTGGCGGTCTTGACGGTGGGGAGTCTGAAGGCCGGGCAGACGGAGAATATCATTGCGGACCGGGCTGAGATCGGCATCGATTTCAGGTCTGTCAAGTTGGAGACCCGCGACAAGATGCTCGGAGCAATTCAGCGCATTGTTCGGGCCGAATGTTTGGCGAGTGGGTCTCCCAGGGAGCCGGTGTTCACGCCTACGAGGAGGTTCCCCCCGACTTCAAATGATGCCGATGTGGCGTCTCAGTTGGCTGCGTCTTTTTCCAGCCATTTCCAACATTTTGATGGCGACACGCAGCGAACTAATGTCAGTGAAGACTTTTCCACGCTGGCTACGTGTGACGGTATTCCATCCTGCTTTTGGTTTCTTGGGGGCGTGGATCCGCGCGTTTGGGATCAGGCCCAGGGGGTCGATCACCTCATGGACCAAATTCCCGGGAATCACTCGGCTCTCTTTGCCCCTGTTATCCAGCCAACTATGAGGGCTGGAGTGGATGCGTTGTGCATAGCCGCTTTGACGTTTTTGACAAAATGACCTTGCCATCAGCCAGTGCCACTTAGTACGTAGTTTGGTGCACACTATCGGGATAACGACTATTCTTGATTATAGTCGCTTGTTTTATCTAATGTGTTATAACTTATTAGGCCATTAATAGACCAATACGTGATACTAGAGTTATCAGGAAGACCTAGCGTCCCGCCGTGGAGAAGGATGCCATCTAGCTTCGTACATGACTATCCGCTCCAAGAAACGAACTTCTCGACACACACACACACAGCACTACAGCATCACGCCTAAGCATGGCTTGTATATAATGGAAACATGGATCGGCCTGGTTTATGCCAATCTGCTTTCCCCAACTCCCAGCAATCTCCAATAATTCCGCATCCAATCCAACCTTTCTCGAAAATAGCCAAGGTAACGACTAGTCGGTCAGGACGATATCGCCGTCTCCACCATACCCCGCACAGATAACCCTATAGGAAAGCTCGGCCCTATCGTGTTCTCCGCACATCCAACAAAACCCCATCCTTATAACAGATACTGTCTGTGATGTGTGGCCGGGATCCATCCGTTCCAGGGCCGTATCCGGGTTGGTTATAGTTATCAGGGCAACACCAAGAACCATGTCAGCCGACGAACCCCGACCTTCGAAGCGGGCCCGTCAAGCCTGTGACCCATGTCGGTATGGATATGCTTCCAATATTGCCATTTTACGTCAGTGACTGAGTCGCTCGCAGGAGAAAAAAGTCCCGATGTCCCGGGGAGAAACCAGAATGCTCCTATTGCCAGCGCCTGAGCCAGCAATGTGTTTACTCCCAGAGTGATTTCGGGGATCCCAGAGGCTCCACGGATATGGTCGAGTCTCGCTTGACTGAACAGGCGAGACGATTGGAGAGCTTAGAGGGTCGCATTGAAGAATTGCTCGGTTGCTTGAGGTGAGTTTGAACTCTTGCTGTGCGTGCATACATTGTAGTGAACGATTGTCTGGTCATGACAGCGCAAAGCAAGAGCCGACTCCGACGACGGCTTCCCTGGAGCCTAGGGCTTGCTCAATCACCAGTAATGAGACTCAGGTGGACACCATCAGCACCATGGCTGCGCATCTCTACTTGAGGTGCTGTAATTACCAACCACTTCCTTTGTTCCATCCTGAGGGGTTCGTTGAGTCGATGGCCTCGAGAGACCAAGAGCTCGTTCTTGCGATCCAGGCGATCAGTTTGCGGTTTACTGCGGGGCCGGCGGCGGACGGTGTTTCTCTTCGTGGCCATGCTACCAGGGCCCGGTCTTTGGTCATGGAGCGAGTCAACTATGGAAGATTGGAGGTGTCTTCATTGCAGACGCTTTGCTTATTGGCTCTCTATGAATTCTCGAGTAAGCTCAACCAATCTCTAACAGTTAACAGAGTTGGTTTCTGACAATTTTAGCCGGGAATATCGCCCAGGCAGGGCTGACCCTCAACACGGCCACGTACCTCACCCAAAGAGTCAGCCTCGCAGGCGAGGTGCTCGGTAACATCCACACGGAAACAGACGAAAAACGACGCTGTCTATGGAGTATCGAACTGCTGAAACACCTCCAAGGCGACGGAATCCAAACCCACCGACTCAAATCCGGAGTCCTCACCCCCTTCGACACACGATCCGGCCTCTCGGCCTCGCACGAGCCCGTCGCCATTCCCCAGTATCCAGGAGTAACCAGTCCTCAGGAAGACTTAGGTCTATTCCCTTACACGATCCAATTAACCGAAGTATGGGCCCTCGCCATGAATTACGCCGCCACGCGAGTCGACCCAGCCTCCCCACCACCCTGGTTCTCGCGGTCGGACTACTCCATCGTGACATACTGGCACACGGACTTCGACAGCCGTGTCCCCTTGAAATTTCGATATCACGCAAACCGCTTTCATAGTCACAGTCTGGCAGAGCTGGAGCAGCGTCGCGACTTCTGGGGCCCGTGGCTCTTCCTACAGTTCGTATATCTCGCCATCCCCTGTCTGCTAAACCACCCGTTTCTGCTATCCATGCGACTGCGCAGCTTCCGTCACACCATGCCCCTGTCTTTCCTGCGGCAGTCGTTTGAGGCCATCACCGCGTGCACAGCTTGGGTCCTGCACCTGATCGACCTCATCGAGCACAAGGGTTTCGAGGTCTTTGACCCTACCATCGGCGCCTGCGTCGTCGTAGTCGCCACCATCCATCTGCAGCACAGTTTCGTCGAAGACCAAGACTTGCGCGATAAAGCGAAAAGTGGGTACGAGAAGTGCGTGCGCTTCCTGCAGACGCTGGCCACGCGTTGGCCGCATCTCAACAACATGGTCAGTCTAGGCTTCGTACAGACCTTCTTCCAGCTCTACTAACCCTGAACATTTTTCCAGTCACACAAACTCCACCAGCTCCGTGAGAGCATCTCCCGCAACCCCGAAAACCGCACCTGGTCCATCGACGCCCCTCTCCTATGGGAACTGCTCGTCTACGACCACGCCAGCCAGTCGCCATCATCCACCGGTACCCTCTTTGGGCGTACCCTGCTCAACCCAAGCACCAGACCGGCCGCGTCGCGCATGATGACCCCAGACGCGGAATTCCCCCTCGTCGGCTCTGCTGGCATCTCAGGACACCAGACGGTCGCCAGGGACCTGGATGCGTATCCTCCAGATTTGGTGACCACACCTCCAGCGACGGGCTTTGCCGCGGCGTTGGGAGATCCGTCCACGTTGTCGGGCGAGTTTCATGGCTTGGTGGGTGATCCGTTGGATGGGATAGTGAATGAGAATCTGTTCTTGGCGCCCGAGAGTTATGGGAGGGCGATTGAGGATTGGTGGAATTTGGCGTCGTTTTGATTTCCCCCCTTTTGCTGAAATCTTTTGTCTGTACGATGGACACATCCTCAATTCATATCTATAATGCAAACTGTGATGTCGATTATCCCTGCTTTAGTACGTAAGTCGTGGATATTGAGTTGGCACAAGAGGATCTATCCAAATGGTTAGCTGCCTAGGCCTGTGCGACAAGTTTAGCATGTACTCTACATTCACATCACATTCTCGTCATCGAAAACCACAGAGAATGCCGTCCTCGTGCTATGCAATGATATCAACTGGCGGATACGGTCCGCGTCCCGTGTTCCGGGAAAGCCCTATCTCGGCATTCAAGATAGCGTACGGTATCTTTCCCCGGATTTTGCCCCAAAGTGGACTAAACACGGCCGATCTTTGTCTTCTCTAGTGGAAGGGAAAGTGAGAAGACATCAAAGGGGCGAGATATCCCCCCTCCAAACCCTCACCTCTTTCAATCCGCCTCAAATAATTCACAAGCCATGGATCCCGAAAAGAAGGATGAATTAGCCCAGACGGCCAGTGTGTCGGAAGGCAAGACCGCCCCTCATTACGGACCAGAGCCCTGTAGTCCCAACGACATTGTCATCCAGAATGCTATCGAAACAATTGGCATGGGCCGCTACCAGTGGCAGCTGCTGGCTTCATGTGGGTTCGGTTTCATTGCTGATCAGGTAGGTTCAGCATGAGTAGCAGACATCCTCGTTACCGTTCTAACGGATTATCCAGATGTTACTCGTCTCCATCAGCCTAGTCATGCCACAGGCATCCAAGGAGTTCTCGCCACAGTATGCCACTCTGCTACCCGCAACTCAGTACGCAGCGCTGGGGGTGGGAGCCGTAGCGTTTGGGTTTTTGGCGGATATTTGCGGCCGACGGTGGGCGTGGCAGGGGTCGATATTTGGGGTTTCAATTTTTACGGCTGTGTGTGCTGGATCACCGAATTGGGCGGGCCTAAATGTGTTCATTGCGCTGGCGGCGTTCTTTGGTGGGGGGAATTGTGAGATTTTCTCCTCTTATGCTCCTTTATTCTCACAATCCCCTTCTCTTCCTGATTGTGAACCGTGTGCTGAGTCTATCTAGTGGCAATTGATCTGACCGTTCTGGCGGAATGCTTGCCTCGCAAGTGGGGGTTTCTACTGAGCGGTCTTGCCTGTTTGTGGGGACTGGGGAACGCTGTCACTGGGTTGATTGGTAGGTACCTATATTTCTCTCTTTTTCCAGCTGATACTGACTGTCCAGCCTGGCCACTCGTGGTCAACTTCTGCTGTCCGCAAGGCGCAACCTCAGCGACATGCACCAAAGCCGACAACATGGGATGGAGATACCTGTACATCATTATTGGCTGTCTCTGTCTGATCATGTCCATCGTGCGGTCCTTCGCGTTGGGGATGACTGAGTCTCCGAAGTGGCTCATCTCCCAAGGTAACATGGACGAGGCCGTCGCATCCGTCAACTTCATCAGTCGACTCAACAAGTCTTCCTTCGTTTTGTCAGTTGATGAGCTGAATCCCTGCGAGCGCGAGAACCCATACGACATGCAACGAATCCTCCGCTTGCTCCGGGGCTTGTTCTCCGGATCGAGACAACTCCGCTCTATGATCTGTCTGATCTTGCTCTGGGTTCTTGTTGGAGTTGCGTAAGTTGTTTCCTGTCTTTTGTTTTCTTCCTTCTTTCTTTTTGAAAAAGTTTCTAAAATCAAATCAACCATAGATACCCCGTCTACGTCATCTTCCTCCCCTACTACCTCGAAGGCCACGGCGCCAAACTCGGCACCGGAAGCACATACCAGACCTACCGCGACTGGTCCGTCTCCTCAACGGTGGGTATCGCAGGTCCCCTTCTTAGTGCATATCTCGTGCAAACGCGCCTCCTCGGTCGCCGTCGCTCTATCACCGTCACGGCGTGGATCTGTGCTATCTTCGCGGGCGTGTTTACCATTGTCAAGAACGAGGCGCAGAATTTGGCGTTCTCTAGCTTGATTAACTTTTGGTTGAATGCTATGTATGGGGTGATTTATGGGTGGGTTTCTTTCCCCGTTGAAGCGTTTTGTCGTGGGAATAAAACGAAAGGGGTGCCATGCTGATGACGATGCAGATATACCCCCGAAGTCATGCCCGACGCATATAGGGCTATTGGTTGCGGACTCACGCTGGCCTGTGCTCGTTTGGCGTCGTTGACGTCGCCGTTCATTACAACCTGGGGAGATGTCTATTCGTCGGTTCCGATCTTCGTGTGTTGTGGGTTGTTTGTCGCTATTGGGTTTGTGTCACTCGTGTTGCCATTCGAGCCGTACTTCGGTTGATTTGTGAGTATTTATGGTACTCATATGGTGGAGATTGTGTGTTTCTTGTTTTTCTTTTTCTTTTATTGCATATGTTTAGTTTTGGGATATGGTTATACTGCGGTTTCAAACGTTTGTTCTCATTCTATGGTGCTATATACTACAACTATCTTAGTCTGTGCGTTCTTGTCAATCTGTGGGAAATAATAAACGGACTACCCAAATAAATCATCCAATGTCATGACAGAGTGGATCAGTCCTGATATCTTTCGCCCAGGATGATCCCTTCATCCCCGCAGACGGGAGCGGCCCGGGTCCGGGTTAGGGCTGCAGGTTCATCCTAACCACATGAACGCATCAATCTATAGAGAGTAGGCATAAGGCAATTGCAGGTTCGAGCAGACATTTCATCAATGTAGTAGATAAATGAGATCAGTCCACAGGCTGTCCTTGTCTTCCACGGCCAACATCTCATCTAACAGGTATCAAACCACCCAGTACCAGACAATGGATCGCCTCTTCTCCTTGGGAAAATCAAGCACCAATCAACCAGATGCACTACCCAAAGACGAGCACCGCGCTCTGCCCGCCCTCTGGTACCGTTCGCCGTCCCTATTTGCCCTCGAGCGCCGCGCCATATTCTCCAAAAAGTGGCTGGTCATCACCCACCAAGTCCGGTTCCAGAACGTAGGCGACTACGTCAAATATGACATCGCCGGATACAACATATTCGTCATCAAAGATCGCAAAGGCTGTCTGCGCGCGTTCCACAACGTCTGTCGCCATCGGGCGTATCCCGTCATGGAGGCGGGTTGCGGAACGGCCCGTATCATCGCGTGCAAGTACCATGGTATGTGTTCCTATTTGGCTGTTTGGAAACGATGTTCGTATCTGGCTATTAGAACTAACAGAAGCAGGATGGTCGTACGGTCTCGATGGACAGCTGGCCAAAGCACCCAAGTACCAAGATCTTGAGGGGTTCGACAAGGCTGCTAATGGCCTTTTTCCCATCCACATCCATGAGGATCAGCTTGGCTTCGTCTGGGTCAATTTAGAGGCATCCCCTGAGCCTACCACGCCATGGGGAGAGGACTTTGCGGGCGTGGACGAGCAGCCCCGACTCCAGCACTTCGATCTGTCTGAGTACCACTTTGATCATCAGTGGGAGATGATGGGGGATTATAACTGGAAGACCCTGGCGGATAACTATAATGAGGTATGCTAGTGTCTCCTTATTGATAACTAAAATTTATCTAATAATACAGTGCTATCACTGTCCCACCGGCCATCCCGCTATTAATGGTCTTTCCGACCTGAGCAAATACTATGTCACCACCGATCGGGGACTCATCCAGCACTTCAACACCAACAAGGAGGATACATCGGATTTCGACATTAACAGTTCGTTTTACTTTCCGAACGCGTCGATCACCATCTCGTTTGTCTCCTACTCTTTTCTCCTCTTCTCCTCTTCTCATATAGAGAGTAGCGCGTGCTAAGCGGACACACAGATCTACCTTCTTCTACCTGATGCGCTGCATCCCCGTCTCCTCCTCCCAAACGAAAATGGAGTATGAGGTATTTCGACACAAAGACGCCTCCGACGAGGCGTTTACCGGCATTTCTGAGTTGTTCAAGCAGGTCCTGCGCGAGGACAAGGACCTATGCAATGCGGCGCAGACAAATCTCAACGCGGGCGTTTTCACCAATGGGGTATTGCATCCTCAGGCGGAGAAGGTGAGCCATATAGATACCTTTCTTGTCTACGTGTTTTATACGATCTCCTCTTCTGTCTTGTGTCTAAAGCCCATCCAGGGACCGCTATACTTCCAGCAAGTGGTGAGGAAGTTGCTCTTCGAGCATCGACAGGAGGAAGAGAAGGCAGGGAAGGAAATCTGGCCGGCTGTGCCTGGGCATGTTGTTAGTGATAAAGTGGAGGAGGAGCTGCAATTCTGTCGGAGCTTGGATTGCTCTTCTGCGGGGAGTTCTTTGGATTGGTAATGTTGCAGGAGGATATGTCGAGTTTGGTTATGTATATTCTACTGCAGCATGCTGTGATATATTGACAGCCATCCACCAATATACCAATTCGGTGTTCTGGTTAGGCTAGATATGAACATATCCCGACATGTATTTCCATACCCAGCCATAATCGCATCCGAAAAGACAAGAATGTGGGCTCTGCAAGACCAGTGAAGCAGACACTGATATCGATAGTGGAGACAGCCAGTGCACTGCGCAGGGCTGATTCAACATGAACGGCCCCACATATTTCTATTTATATCTACACGATCTTTAACATAGATGAACTGTCACTCCATCATTCCATGACAGAAAGTATATTCAAGCAGAGATCCTAGCTTTAAGCAGCAGCTATACTCACCTATAACAGGCAAAATATTGTTCTTGCAAATGGCGATGCCAAACTAGCTAGAACACGTACCAGCAAATCTTGCTGGGTGGCGTTTACATGACAATGACAGCATCTTCGGATCCAGCCGTTTCAAACAAATGAATCCATCCACCCACATCCACCTCATTCGACCAACCAACCGTGGGTCGTCGCTTCTTTAATCCAACTCATATCGGCCAGGGTCTGGCGCTGCTGAATAATCGCGGATTGTACCTGAGACAACAGTTGATCAAAGACAGCAGCCAACACGAGCCACAAAGTAGCCATCTTACCATCCCACGAAGATCATGCCAGAATCATGGGACTGCATGTTATCGGGCGCTTCCGCGACGCGATCCACCGGGTCAAAAAGTATGGAAAGCGACAGAGGAAGTTGACTTTGTATGTTGATACCATCACCACCCACGCGCATCGCATCCCTAACCGGCTGACATCGCAGACGTCAACCCGACGACCACCAGCAGCAGTCCATCTGGGAGCGACTTCCCGATAGCGTTCTGGTCGAGATCGCGTCTCACTGCAATCTGCTCGAAATTTACAGTCTTCTCTTAACGAGTCGCCTCGTCTCCCGGCGCATCAGGAAACGCGAATGCGCCATCGCCCAAGCCTGGCTCGACCGCCGTCGGCGCCACTACCACCACGTCGTCAACCCCATGGGCGTCTCTCCAGGAGACGACCTCACCTTCATCGCAGACCTGTTTCCCCCGCCCCCGCCCACGTACACGAACGATGGAGACGCCCCTGACGACCGGCCCGACTACACATTCGGGTACCTGGCTGACCTCACCCGATGCTGGACGACCTGCATCCGGCTGTCCTACTATCTCGCGGACCATGTCGTCCAACAGCATCTCCAGACTGATCCCGACGTGCAGCTGGTCTGGTCGTCGTCGAAAACGGAGAAAGAGCTCGTGTATAGTCGGGGGGTGGGGATGCTCCAGGCTCGCCTTCTTGCTCCAATGTACGTATCTACTTCCTTTCCCTCTATCAAGTCAATAATGGCCCCGTCAACTAACCTCGGAGAAAAGCACCCACCTTGCCTTCTTCCTCGAATCCACCGCCTCCGCGGCAGACAACGCCACCACCATCACCCCCCGAATCATAAAAACCCAACAATCCATCCTCCAACAGCCCCCCTTCACAGATACCCAAACCCTCCTCGCAACCCACCACACCATGACCCTCCTCTGCGCCTCCGCCCGCCGCCTCATGGCCCCCGACATCGCCTCCCCCTCCGTCAACAACTGGCTCAGTCTCCTCCTCACAACGTCCACCCTCGAGCGCCTCCTCGACCTCTTCAGAGCAGCCACAACCGACAACACGAACCCTCCTCCCTCCCACCGCACATACCCATCCTCATCCCCATCGTCCTCATCATTCTCATTCTCATTTCCATCCCCATCCCTATCATCCCCTTTAGCATCAGCAGTATCGGCCCTATCATCCCACCACCACCACACCACAAAACTCAAACACTCTTCCACGATCTCCATCCCCTCCTCAAGCTGGACTCCCCGCCGCGAATTCCTCTGGCGCATGCGCGACGACTGGGCTGAGTTTGTCGCGTTGTCGTCTCCCACGGTTCCTGATCCATCGTCCCCGAGGGGCCAGAGCCGCGCTGACAGGCGCGAGAGGCTATCGCTCGCACTGCCGGATTTACAGGGTGTGTGGTTTGGGGCGGCGCAGAAGGAGATGGTGCGGAGGGGGATTATTCCGCATGAAAGTGAGGAGAGTGTGCATATTTTGCATGGGTCGGGGGTGCGGTTGGGGTGTGTGTTTTGTGTGGATATGGGCTCTTGATTTACTTATTTCTACCTTTGACTTTAGTATTACTTTGTATTCGTGGGAAGAGAAGGGGGTAATAATACAGGTATATATTGTGGCTCTACGCTGCGTGAACATTATTTGTATAATACTTATTTATATAATATAAAAGTAAATTAGACCCCAGGTATCAACATTGGTCTATAGCAAACAGGATAGGATTATCAAAGGCAAATTTGAAACCAGTAAAAAAGAAAAGTAACACGGAAAAAAATGGAAAGAGGAAGATATTTACTACAATATCCAGACATGAAAAAAATCCCAGCTGATGGGTAAAGTAGGTGGCACATAGGACATAGGGAATCGGTTAATCAATTCGTCAATTAATCAATCAACGTCAAGCGAGAGATGGAGGTAGAGAGAGGTGAAACATAGAAAGAGATATTTGTCTACCCAGCCAAGAGAGATAAATAGGTAGGGATAGAGATAGAGGTAAAGGTAGAGATAGACATGTAATGTGGCAATGCTAAGGCTCGTCCAGCGCAGCGGACTCGGCCCCAAGGTGAATAGAAGATATTATTACATTAGTAAGTGGGTCAAGGATAAGGGCGTTTCTATCCTGATATCAACACCCAGAGAAGGAAAAAGATCTAGATTCGTTAGTATGAGATTGAAGGGTAGACGATGAAGAGTGGCATACCATCAAAACACCAAACATCTTCGCTATCAACCACCGATTCCCCTGGACACGTCCCCAGTATTTCATCAGCTCGCGCTGGGCGCCCTGCACGTTGTCGACCACGTCATCCGTGTTGGCGTCGATGCGCTGGATCATCTCCGATTGCTCGCTGACCATCTGCGCCAGCTGGCCGAAGATGCCGCCCAGTTCGCTGATGGTGCGCTCGATGGCGTCGATGGCTTCGCCGCGCGCCTGGATGTACGTGTTATTCGTCTGTGCCTCTTCCATCACCAGCAGCTGCTGGTCTGAGTGCATGTTCGGGCGGCCCAGTGGCGACGGGTTCGACGGTTCCAGCGTGAGAAGGTCCGACGCGCCGCCGGGCTGCGGCGTCCGGCGGCCCGAGGTGTTGTACAGCGGGGAGTCCGAGCGCTGCGTGTCGAGGGCGCTCTGGGATTTGGACGAGACGGACGAGACGAAGTTCTCCGTGCGCGATCGCGACGCCTGGATGTTTTTGGTGCGTACTTCTAGAACTTCTTTGAAGTTGGCGCCCACGTCGGCTAGCTTTCCTTGCAGCATGACCACCACCTAGATGGATCTGTTAGCGTCGGTGACACTAAAACCCTGATTCACGCCAAACCTACATTATCATTGTGCTCCCCTTCTTGGTCGGCCTTGGATCGGCTGGCCTTGGGATGTTGGGATTGCGTAAAGGCCTGCAGCGAGGCGATGTGCTGGTTGAGCGATGCCAGGTCGTGCTTGATGACATAGGTCAACTCGGAGATCTCCACCGGTCTGTCGTCGAAGAGGGTTTTTCGCTTTGCCACTGTTGATTTAATCCCCGTTAGCCAACTTGCCCCGCCATTTTCAAACTCAGAGAGCTCCTGTCACTCACATTCCGCCAACCGTTGCAATTTCGCCGTCGTTCCTGTGATCCCCCGCCCGATCTCCACCGCACGGCGGGCAAACTCCGACCTTCTCTTCTCTCCGGGTACCCCCGGCTCGGCGAACCCATTAGTCTGCCGTTTCTGTGCATCCGACAGAAGAGCCTGCCGCTGAGCTCCGACTTTGTTGGTGGTGAGGCGCTTCTGGGCCTGGCCGAGGATGGAGTTGAACTCGCTGGTGCGATCTTGTATGGAGGGGCCGGTCATCTTGTCGGTGGCTTGATCGTGAAGGATAGACGTTGTAATTTAGATAGATAATCCAGAGAGGTAATTCAAGTCGTGGCGTGTCTCGATCGGAGCGATATGTCGGGGTGGATCTAATCGTAGATAAGGAGGCAGGCAACCGGGAAACGTGTCTGGTTTCGTGGATGGGGGCGAAAGGCAGATAATCAAACGAGTGAGAAGAAACACAGTCAGATTGTGACCAAGAGAGAATCCACAAAATTAGACACAAATCCAGGCCATCACAGACAAAAAATGAGCAGAGGGAGATCGATGAGGCCGTTCTTACGTCGGTGTTTTCTTCTGCTGCGTTCGGGATGGATGATAATGAAGCCGTCCGATTCGGGCATAGCGCGGTCACACACGTGATGTACAAGACGCCACCTTACTCAGCCACCAGCCACCCGTTATGCAGGTCGAATAATGCACGGTCGTTCCCCTCAGGCAGCCACCTGCCTTAAATAGAAGGCCTCCTATTTGGTTCTTGGATCGTGATCTCGATCTATCTTCAGCTTCATCTTCATCTCGACCGAACTTGCCGCCACTACCTCGCTAATCCTTCCAACCATTCTTCGTTCTTTCCTTGTCACGGTTCTCTTTGCAATTTCGGGTTCTCCTTGACTTCCTTCCTCGACTACCCAACTCTCTCAATCCGGCCACGTCAATCTCCTCCCCCTGAAACGTCATCTCTGTGAAACACCGCCCGCCGCCGCCACCGTCAGCGTCTGCTCCTCTCCATCGATCCGATAGATCGTCTTCTCGCTTGGCGCTCTCCTATGCCGCTTCAACTCTTGATGCGGTCAGGAGTTTGTCCCCGTCATGGCGCATAATTGGAAACAACCGTATCAACCACTGTATGTTCCTACCTACCCTCCAGCAACCCCGAAAAGCACAGACACTGACCGGCGTCCTACTCTAGCTCCACTAACCACTCCAACTCCCCCGCCTCTCCTTACGGCGGTGGCGACACGCCGATTGCCTTTCGAACCAATGTGAACCGGGCCAAGACCAAACGATGGGTCGAAGCGAAGCAGTACTCCTACGATGGCAACGACTGGGGGGACGACGATGAGGAGGAAGAGGAGGACGATATCCCTCCCCTGCCCCCACACTCCAACAATGTAAACCACGCCCAGTCCAGGGACCAGGCCATCCCCGGACACGACGGTACCGGTCACGGTCGGTCACCCGAGAGACCCGGCGAGACGTCGCCCACGACCCCGATTGTGCGTCCCGTAGATATCTATAAGCGGATGCGCGAGGGGCCAGCAGGGTCGGCGGAGAGTCCATCCGCGGCCGTGGGTCCGTCCGCGACGGGCCCCAGGTCGAGCACCAACCTCTCGCCGGGCCCGGACGCCAGTGGTGACGATCCCACCCGTCTTCACCCCCAGGATCCTGCCACAGGGCCGTCCCCAACCCCGCTGCAGAGTCGAACCACACCCATCCTAGGCCTGCCCGATGTCAAACGTCTGTCGGGCTTTGGGTCAGATTTCATGAGCAAGCCGGCACCCGCCCCGGCTCCGGTCCCCGCCCCCGCCCCCGCCCCCGAAGAATCGCAGCAGAGCGCGCTGCACCATAACCCCTCGCTGGGATTTCGATCTATCGTCCATCAAGCGTTCGATGTCGAGACCCCAAGCACCGCGGTGGATAGCATGACGCGATCGAACAGCGCCAGCACGTCGGCGATCAGTCCCATCATGCCCCCCCGCGCCACAAGCGACACTCGGACCCCCACCATCACCGAGGAACCCGGCGAGGGCCTGTCCACACCCACGGAGCCTGTCCCGGGGTTCAAACCGGGCCATCGTCGGGACCTGAGTGTACCCAGTCCGGGGAACAGTCCGTCGCGGACGCCCATGATCACCACCGCGGACACCCCGGCCCAGCCGGCCGCCGCCGAAATGTCCCCAAGCACCCCGTTCGGCTCGCCTCTGGACCCCGCGGCGCCGCGACACCCCCCGATTGCCGAGTCGACCTCGTCCCCGCTGGCGGAGAAAGACCGACCGGCGCCGCTCAACATTGGTAGCATAGCCACCAACCAGCACAACCCAACTCCGGAAGTACCGATCATCGTCCCCAGCAGCAGCACCGAGACCTCGCCCCAGGACGCACGAAACGACCGGCTCCACCAGGAGATCATCCAGTCCTTGAGCCGCGAGAACACCCCATCCGACGACCCGCAGTCGCGGCCACAGACGGGCCGACCGGACAATCAACCAGACAATCAGCTGGACAGTCCGCCGGACAGTCTCATCCCCAGCGAGTATGAGCGGTACTGGACGGAGGGCCTCCCCACCAGTCCTCAGGACTCGCGGCCGAATGAGTCGGGCACCGCACCCGTCCCGCCCGTCCCGTCTGGCGCGCCCGAAGAGTCCCGGCCGCGGCTGGCGCGGCGGTTCTCCTGGGAGTCGACGTCATCTGGTGAGGAGGCCCCTCCGGCAGTGGACTCCCCTCCGGCGGTGGACGCCCTATCGCCTCCCATAGGGCCTATGCCGGGACAGTTTCCTGCGGGCCCGGCAGACGACAGCCCGCCGCCGCCCGCTGCCGCAGCCATTCCCCCCCCTGCGGAGGCGGAGGAGGAGCGCCCGCCCGTGGAGAAACCCAAGCTCACCATCATTCCACCTTCGGCGACGGACACCAGCAGCATCGGCTTTGAGCGACTGCCGGAAATGGTCCACCCGCCGCCGGCGGACGTGGGGCCGGTGGACGCGGGCCCGGTGGCGGACGTACCCCCGGCGGTGTTCGCTCCGACCGAATCCCCTTCGCTCGAGCCGAGTCTACTAGGATTCCGGGATATCCTCAACATGCCCCGATCGGAGGATCGGGTGCAGGCGTTTCACCAAACACGGACGCAGTTCGGGTCGATCGACACGGGGTTGAACCGGTGGATCCAGGTGGTGGTGCAGGCGCATCCGGAGCACCAGGATGTGGTGGCGCAGTCCCGAAAGCAGTCGACGGGGGAGCCCAAGGTGGTGGTGTCGCGGGGCAAGTTCCCGAAACTGCCGTCGCTGAGCGGGCCCTTCGGCGCGCACGGGGACGGCAGCCCGGGCGGGTCGGGCCACGCGCGACGGCCCTCGGGCCCAATACTGAACAAGCAGCAGGTGGAGCAACGCGGCAAAGAGTTGCTCCACACGGCAGGGATGTTGGGAGGACGGGCAGGGCAAACGGCCAAGGGATTATTTGCGCGGGGCCGCAGCAAGCTCAAGGGGAATGGGGCGGAGCAATAACTCTCTCACTCTCTCCCTCTCTCCCTCTCTCTCTCTTTCTATATGTTCTATCCTATTTTATCCTACTTTCTATTATGATTGGCGTTTGTTTCTGTTCTAGGTTCATGTTGATACGTTTGGGAAACCAGGGATCTTGTTCTTGATACCAGGGCGCTTAGAGATGTCTCGATATAAATAAAGCGGCAGAGAATTCCGAGGTTGGCGCTGATTGGTGCCTGAGGAGCATTGAGGCTGAGTCGAGGCAGCGAACGGGATGATCCTCAGGCTCTCTCGTTCCCCTCATTCTTCTCTCACTTCTTCACCTCTTCTTCTTTCCTCTCTTCTTCCTTTCCTTCTCTCTCTCTCTCTCTTTTTATCCTACCTCTCTCCTATCCTTTCATGATTCTATCATGGGGTTCCTTCATTCGAGGTCCCCCCTCTATCTCTTTACTCCCTGCCAGCCTCCTCATCATCCTCGATGAGCAGCCCCCACGACACTTCCTCCAAAGGGGGGAAGAAGAAGACCATGAACCGTCTGGGAGTGAGTTTTTTTTTTTTTTTTTTTCTTTTTTTCTTTTATTTTCCCTAGAGCACAGTCTATCATGATCATACAAGCGGGAAAGAAAAGCAAACCAACGGGAAATGCAAAAAGAGGAAATAAACAAAACTAATCCTTCAGGCTTTCTTCAATCGTCCCCGCTCAACCTCGCCCGGCGCATCCCTGGGCGCCAATCCTGACTCCGCCACCGCGCCCGAGGACTCCCCCGGCGACACTTCCCACCTGCGTCCCCTCACAGCCGGCCCCAGCGAAACCCGGACGGCCAGTCTCTCCTCCTCACGCTTCCCCTCGGCCGTCGATCTCAATCCCCGTCCTCATTCCGACATCGCCATTTCTCAAGACTCCCTCTCCCCGCCCCTCCGCCCCCCACCGTTGTCGGCTGCCAGCGCCGACGGCTTCTTCGACCCCGAGTCCTTCTCCCGCTTCCGCGACTACCGACAAACCGACGACGCCATCGCCCGATTGATTTCGTCGGAAAATGTCCAGCGCGGTGTCGGCGGCGTGCACCGCATCCCCTCGACGTCCTCGGGTTCTGTCTCCTCCGTATCGCGGTCCGGGTCCGCGCGCGAGTCCACGGCGGGCCCGCTGACCGGCACCCGGACCGGCACGGCGTCGTCTGGCGGCTGGGGGTCCGGCTCCGGGTCGGGATCGCTGTCAGGATGGGGGTCAGGATCAGGGTCCGGCTCGTCAGGGGATCCCCTGTTCGCGGGGGCTTTCCCACCCCCTCCTGCTACTGCTGCGACTGCCCCCGCCGCCGGCAGTGCCACCACGGCCGGAAGCCTCTCTTCATCCTCCATCGTGGAGACGCCCTTCCCGCTACGACACCACGCCTCGACAGGCTCCTACCCCGTCCGCCTCCCCCAGCGCCCGCCGCACCTAGCCTCCCACCAGCGCACCCAAACCTACACCCCGCCCCCCGCCCCGCACTGGCGCTACCCCCTCAGCCCCACCACCCGGGCACTCACCTTCTCCCCCTCAGACGAGATCCCGCTCCCCCGCGGCCGCAGCCCGCGCGGTCGCGACGAGCGCACCTACGCGCAAGACCTCCACCTCCGCTCGCGCTCCCCCAAAGCATTCGCACCTCGCCCCGAAGAGCGCCAAATCCCCAGCGCCGACTTCTCCGACCCAGCCTACCGCCTCGGCACCTTCAACCAAATGGACAAGGGCAAGCGCGTCAGCCGCGTCGGCGACCAAGAGCGACCCTGGCTCCTGACCATCCCAGGCGTCGACGACGACGACACCAACACCACCACCACCATCAACAACGATGACATGTCAATCGCCCCGCGCCGCCGTCGCACAACCGGCGACCACCGGCGCCTCACCCCCTACCAAGCCGCACGACAAGTCCTGGCGGAGGAACAAGAACCCCCAGGCCCAGACGAGCGCCTCCCCACCTACGAAGAAGACGTCATCGCGCACTATCACCACCTCACACGGCCACAGCAAGAGTACTACCAGCAGAAGGAAGCCGACGAAGTCGACGACTACAGCAACTACAGCGCCGTCGATGAAAAGGCCAGCATCCGATACACTCTCGACGACGAAATGTCCCGGTGCAGATCACCACCACCACCACCACCACCACCACCATTACCACCCAGCGAGCTCCCCGCAGAGCTAGACGCCGCCCACCCCGCAGAACCAGACGCCACCCGCCCCGCCGAACTAGATACCGTCCACCCCACGCGCGGCCACATCCCGGTTGTCACGCGCTCAAGGGAGCCCGTCGAGTTACCTGTGCGGATCGACGGCGACGAGGGCGACGAGATCAGGATGTCCAGTACGGCTTATCCGGGGCAGGAGTGGCGGCCTGTAGGATATTCCGAGTATGATTAGCTTATCTCTGGGATAGGAAGGGAGTAGTCACAATGTGTGTGTATGCACTGTGAAGGGGTAGTTGGTTGTGTTCTGTTCTATGTGCCATGAGCAAACGAGTCATGTAGTTTATATAATCCCATTCACTACTTACTTATTTATTTCACTGAAGTAAAGCATAAATGTGTAGATCTCTCATTTTAAACTCATTTTGTTTATACTCGGGGAGAGAGCTGGATCTAAGATTCTATTACATTACCTATCTACTAGAGCAGAGATGTGTACATATTTATAGATACATCTATAATCAGTCATCGTCACCACCCAAAGGGATAAAAAAAAAATAGAAAAAAAAACCATCATCATCAAGATCAACACCGACATCAAAAAAGAAATCATCAAATAAAGAGAACAACGAAAAGAAAACGGAGAGAGAAATCACCCCTCAAAAACATTCTGCGTCAACTCAACCCCCATATCCTTCGCCATGCCCCTCATCTGCTCCTCAAGACTATCCTCCATGCCGCCGCCCAGATGCAAAAACTGCCTTATCTTCGTGAACCAGAAGAACAAGTCCGACGAGAACAGCACCACCTTGAACAGGATGTGGCGGGCGAAATTCCGCATTTTCTCCCCGGTGGGCAGGTCCGGGCTTTCGACGAGGGCGCGGCTCGCCCATGTGCCTGTTATCTTGACGCGGTTGACGGGGGAGCCGAGGAATTGGTTGTTGGCTTGGACGATGCGCAGGTTGCGGCCGATGAAGATCAGCGCGTGCGGCCACTTGGACTCGTCGCCGAGGATTTGGCGGATGGAGCGGCGGGCGGCTTGTTGCATTTCGTAGTGGCGGCGGGCGTGGTCGTGTTGGGAGAGGTTCTCGAAGTGTTGGGCTGTGGAGAGGTCGCCGCCGCGGTAGGGGCGCATGAGGGTTGCGGAGGCGAAGATGTCGGGGTTGGTGACGCCCCATTGGTGGACGATTTCGTTGAGGGTTGTGTTGTCGAATGTGAGGAGCGCTTTCCAGAAGCGGGCGTATTGGTGCCGGAAGGGCGTGTCCATGTGGATGTAGAGGCCGTGGTCGATGAGGACGAGCTCGGCGCGGCCTGAGGGTTGGCGGCGGACGAAGATGTTGCCTGGGTGGGGGTCGCAGTGCACGATGCCCCAGAGGAACATCTGGGCGGAGAACAGGTCGACCATGGTCGTCATGACGTCTTTGAGGGACACTCCGAGGCCGCCGCGGCGGGAGGGGCCGCGCCAGGCGTCACGGTCGGGTTTGAGCTGGTCGTGATCGAGCTGGGTGCCGGTGGGGCTGCGTGCGGTGGTGGGTGAGGGGGAGTCGTCGAGGGGCGTCCCGCCGCACCCTGGGCTGCCGCGGTGCCAGCCGCCACGCCAGGACCGCGTGAGGGCGTCCTTGTCCCAGAGACGGACGCCCTCGATCCACTCGGCGGTCATGACGCGCTTGGAGCTGAGCTCGCGGTAGACATTGGGGATGTAGACGCGGCCGCGGAGGCGGGGCTCGCCGGCGACGAGGCGGGCCATGGTCTCGGAGTTGTCGGCCTCGTTCTCAAAGTCGGTCTCGAGGGAGAGGCGCTCGCTGACGTAGGGGACAAGACTGTAGAAGGGGATGTCGAAGATGCGGCTGTAGATCCAGGTGACAACCTTGAAGGCCCAGAGATCCCACTCCAGCTGCTTGGCGATCTCGCGCTTCTGGATCTTGATGGCGACCTCGCGGCCGTCGGCGAGACGCGCCCAGTGCACCTGGGCGACGCTGGCGCTGGCGCGGGCGCGCCGTTCCATGAGTCCTTTGTCTGGGTCGCCTTGGAAGGAGACGCCGAAGACCTCCTCGGCGGAGCGGCCAAAGTCCTCGCGAATGACGGCCTCGACGTCCTTCCAGTCGTTCTGGGGGGCGTCGTCGAACATGCGAGCGAACATGCGCTGGAACTCCGGGGGGAGGATGGCGGACTGCATGGCGATGGCCTGGCCGATCTTCAGGTAGAGTCCACCATTCTGACGTAGCAAGTCCGACAGCCGTTCGGCGTTGCGCGTGTGTAACGCATTGATGGAGGCGGCCAGTAGAGGCTCGGGGCGGAAGTTGATCTTATAGTCGAGGGCGACGAAGATGCCCAGCGCAAAGGTGCGCACGGTACGGGTGACCGCCGCGGCGTAGAAGTGGGTGTCGACTAGGTAGACGGTGCCCGTGGCGAGGGAGAGATAGAACAGACGGCGCAGCCATCTCCGGGTGCGGGTGTAGCTCTTGGCGGGGACGGGTCGGCCGAGGGAGCTCGGGGAGGGGGGGACGAAGGGTTGGAATCTACCGGGATGGACGAACCGGCGGGGAGAGAGGTGTCGACAGGGAGGGAAGATAGATGGTGTGAGGGGGCGTACGAGAGAGCGTGAGGGTGTGACGGTGGGAGATCGCAGGGCGCGAAGGGCCCGTGGGAGTGACGCCATAGCCGGATCAGGGAGGGGGCATGGCTCAATTGACAGGTAATACTGGTAGATGGGAAGGTGAAGGGAGAATATGAGAGAGAAGAGAAGAATCAAGGATAGAAAAAATGAAGAGAAGGGAAGGGAAGGGAAGAAAAGATGAGGAGAAAGATGGAGAGAAGTTGAGTGAGATGAGAAAGATGAGGAGAAAGTAAGAAACGATGAGGTCGGAACTGTCGGCCTTACAATCTCCGTGGTTGCCTTATTTATACATTCATTTCTAGACAACTTTATAGCCAACACTCATACTCATATACATATATATAGACAAATAGATCAATAACAAGGAAAAGGAAATATCAACATAAATCTAAGATCAAATCAAACCCCCATATTCACCCCCATCCCATCCCAATTCGTATCCAACACCTGCATCCCATCCTCCAGATTCTGACACGCCTGCGCATACTCCCGCATATTCCCCGGAATAGTCTCCTGCCACAACTCATCCTGGTTCAAAAAATCATACTGCTCCTTGCAAATCGCATCCGACACCATCGGCAACAAAGTCGGCACGCTCAGCAGCGCCGACCGCAAAAAGGTCTTCTTGAAGCAATTCCCGAACCCGGCCAGCGTGTCGTCATCGGAGCAGATATCGCGGCCCCCGAGCAGCGGACCGCAGCGCGTCTTGATGCTGTTGGCCGCCTCGTCGCCCATGCGGATCAGCGCGTCCTCTTCTTGCGGGGCGCGCAGCCGCCGGGCGATATCCCGGGCGGCGGGCACGAAGGTGTTGTTGCGGGCCCAGAGGTCCCAGTGCGGGATGGTCGGTTTACATCCGACGTCGCAGATCTCGCGCTGGAAGTGGTAGAAGATGTCGCTGGGGCGGCCCACCAGGGCGGCGACGACTTTGATGCAGGAGGTGCCGAGTGCCGAGGCGATGGGGAGGAGGAGGAGGGGGAGGAGGGGCAACAGTCCCCGGAGATACATTTTGATATTCGATGGGATGTATTATGTCCGTAAGATATATTGAGGGGTAGTCAATCGTATGATCAAAGGAGGATAGAAGAAGTCTGAAGAGAAAGAAAAGGAGGAGAAGAGAAGAAGATGGAGTCGATCTGGGGAAAAAGTTCGGAGAGAGCGAGAATCACAGGCATTTCCCGATCAGGAGATGATTGACCTGTGTCCCCGCGTTCTAGATTACTCTATTATCAGGAGATTCTGGGTTGAATCTGAGATTGACTCGATTTCACATTCACGCATATGCAGTCATAATTGAGATATTCCGAGGTTGAAGATTCGTCTGGACTCATACCCCAGGCAGATAATGACTTGGTGGAGGATTACCACAAATCCGATAGATATCATGTTTGTGCTTCGTAAGTAACCTCATATTCAATGCGACATGATCTAATTCAATAATCTAAATACATGACCGTGATGGAACCGGTGCCATATCCGACATCATCCCCGACCATCAAATATCCTCCTCAATTTATCCCCACCTTGCCAAAGCAGCACAACCCACGAAGAGCACGGTTGAGGTCCAGAAAGGTGGTGGATTCAACCATGCGTCTTTGAAGCAGCACGACGCATGATCTCAAAGAGGATCCCCTGGTGTTTCTTCCAAATCGTCCTATATCAAGGGACGGTGGAGAACACCGTATACGGGAGACAAAGACCATGAAGAGCCAGAGTGGCTTATCCAGTCTCTCAAGTCCGTACCCAATACTACCCGTGTTCATTATGTCGGAAAGATCTGTCGTAAAGATTCTTTGCGCCAAAGTCAAGCAACAAGATGTATAGATGTATACTCATGAAGCCCATCTAGCAGAGAATGAATCACAGCAAGAATTCGAGGAAAGATACATGCAGGCCATGCCGAATCAAGATAGAAAGCTTGAAAGGCGAACGAGTCCTATATTCCTGTGTATCTATTTGGTCTTCTACCACAAGATTCGGCACATCATCCTCAACGACCCAATCATGTCTGGGCTTGACAACTGTCTTTCATCATCAGAGACGAGTCGTCATCTCCACAGCCTGTAGTTGAACAATCCGCCGGACTTCAAGTCCATAAATGCCAAATTTTCCTCAGGTAGAGTTTAGCCATCGGAATTCGGTTTGCAGCTCGTGCGGAAACAATCCCGGCACCAAAGATGCGTAATTGCTCATGTCTCTGGTCGTGTCAGGTTCCGAACTGACCGCTCGGTCTGGCTGGCATAATGGAAGTACCGTTGTTTGTCGTCCAGAAGGGAGGACTCCCACCATCTCCATCATGCACAACACCCATATATGAGCTCGAAGCCGAATGTAAGCTCAGAATTGTTAATTTGCAGTCACAAGCTTGACCTTATCAGCTGGCCAAGACAGCACGCCACATGCGTGGAAGCGTGGTTTGTCGTGTTGTCTTTGGCTAGTGCCAATTGTTTTGAAGTTGATGTCTAGACGATTGACGGAGATATGAGATGACTGAAAAGTCGCTGTCATATGCTGAGGGATTATCGCACTAGCCAAAGACAACACGCCACATGCATGGGGTCATTTCCTGTCGTGTTGTCTTTTGGCCAGTGCCACATTGCTGGCTAGGGTCTTTCCACGACCATTTGACGTCGATATGAGATTGATCGACTCCTTGTTTGAGTGTTCTCACGGATGGAAATTCGGCTGGGGTTTTTACCTGCTTAGCTTTTTCAACTTCCCAAGCCAGCAGCCACATGCGTGGAAACGTGGTTTGTCATGTTCAATAAATGAACATGCCAACAGTCGTTTGCAGTTTCGGTCAAACAGATTGACATTGACACGGCGATTGATTGAATTGCTGCTGTCGTCTTCAACTGACGGGCTCTCTGCATAACCCAGACAACACGCCACATGCGTGAAAGCGTGGCTTGTCGTGTTGTCTTTTGACCAGTGCAAGATTACTGGCTGTCTGGTGTCTTTCTCAAGATAAGTGACATTGGCATGGCAATTTCTCTCTTTTAGAAAGCAATCACCAGCCGGGATGATTGCACCCTGCGAGCTCGGCGGCCGTTTACCCCAGTATTAGGATAATAATGTATACCCTGTCGACAGATCAAATCTCTTGGTTGTGGTAAAAGGCCAAATAAACCAATAACCTTGAACCAGGCCAGCTGCACCACCCCGACCCCGTGCAATCCTGTCATATGACAAACTATCTGCCAAAGAACGACAGCCCCGAATGTCTGCAGGGAGAGTTTATCCACCGACTTCGGTCTGAGAAGTGACGTCAGCAAGGACTATTTCGAATATGAGACCGGTTGGGCTGAGCCTTTGAAATGACAGGTCGCAAATCGTTCGGACACACCAGCCACTTTCACTGTCCCATGACTTGCGTCAGGACGAATATTGCTTCGTCTTTGACTTCAAACCCTAGTGAAAAAGATGGTTTATCAATGCTAACCCTATTAGCACAGATTTGCAACAGGGACCCAACACCTTGAATATCACGAGATATCAAATGGTATGCTGTTAGGGTCTCGCACGAAAACTGTGTCCATCTTTCCGATCAAGTGTGGATGACATCTGTCATGCCACTGACCAGTATCGGTTCGATATTTTGGCGCAGCACTGATATCTTGACAATATCCATTTATTGACTTGGAGCAGCAGTATCAGTAGTAGCAATGCCGCAGACGCGTTGTGCAGCAGTATCAATAGCAGCAATGCCGCAGACGCGTTATGCTGCTGCTCCAATGCAGGCTTTGGCCAGAACCATCGTTTTGACGTGACATGAATAGGTCTGCCGAAACGACTCTTTGTTCTTCATTGCCAAGCCTTTGGAGCAGCAGCATCAGACACGGAGTACTACCAGGAGCAGCAATGACAGCATCAGGGTCAAAAGCAGCAATGCTACAAAAGAGTCCCATACTTGGACGGATGAGTCAACTCTGTATCGCGCGTTGAACATTGTTCGACTCCTGATGATAGAAGGGTTCGCATGCAGACGATTAAAGTGGCCAATATTGAAGCCAACTCTTCACCAAATAGCGGAAGTCAGGACACGCAATATGTCATATAGGGCACCAGTGCCTATGTCAAGGTTGAATAGCAACAGGAAGATCGAAGCACTCAGGGCAAGTCAATGAGTTATATAGTCGACGCTCAAAGCCGTCGTCCAGAAGCACAGCGACCGACGCGTATTCTAGGCAAAGGATCCGCCAGCGGCATCTCATCCTGGAAGTTTCAAAATTGACTTGAATCCAGGTCTTGTTTGTAGTGTGTCCGCTGGAAATGTCGTTCGTTAACCGATACAACAGCCAGAGATGTATTGAAGGCGTTGCCCATCTTATGTCTTAAGTGAAGCCAAACGGTTGAGGCAGCCAGAGCTGTATGGTGGCATATGCTGTCCTTCTTCTGCTGGCACGCAACCAGCCGTGACTCGAAGCGTGAAGCATCGAGTATTCAGCAGTGACAGCCTCAGAGCTAAACCTGTGATCCCAACTATTCTCAATCCCATGTCCCACGACAAGGACGGTCGCAAAGCGCAGGGCCAATGATCCATGCAGACAGTTTCGTCCATGTAGAAATTTGTAGGATTTGCCAGGCTTGTCATGAGCATATCATGGCCAAGGGCACATAACTGCAAAGCACACCGCACCATTCCCAGAACACCGTCCAGTGCTGCCCTCATGCAGGAGAAAATATTCCTAGCAACGCCCGTGCGTTTTGTTGCAAAGCGCCGGATGCAAGTCAAAAAGTCAACACGGCCGTCTATGGACAAAGTGTTTCGACTTTCGGCAAGTCGGGCATCTCGATGTCATTATCGCTTCTTCGACTTATAGCCGAAGAAATGTCAAGGAGACGGCGATACACCGTATACGGGAGACAAATACCATGAAGAACCAGAGCGATTAATCCTGTGGGAAACCACATAAATGGTTGTGTTTCTCTCGGTCGTATTTCAGAGGACTGATTGGCAGTAATAAAGCTGGTCATCAAATGGGGACGACAACAACACCCTCTCGCTAGGGCGTGATGAGTGCGGTCCATCATATGTGTATCCGATGGACGGTTGAATCGGACGAACCAAAAGTTCTATCCACGATGGGTGTGAAGCAAGGGGGGCATTTCCAGGAGACATGGTCTTGTGGATCCGTCCAATCCCTTTTCAAGGCACAAGAATGCTGGTGGTCCACAAGCTTGGCCAACATGACCTCTGGATCCGACAGTCCAGTGTCATTGTATACCTCCAAGCGAAGGGACATGATAATAATCATAATAGTCCAAAGTAGAGTGGAGCAAGTGTAGACGACTAGAACTCATCTAGCACAAGACGATAGACATTGACATGGCGATGCTGTCTGTCAAGAAGGCACCACCAGCCAGGATGATTGGACTCGGCGGACTTGGTGCGTGACTTGATCCCGGAATTGGGATAAGCACATAGTTTGAAGGAGGGCCCTTATTCGGATACTCTATTCCAAAACGCAGCGTACATGAGAATGATCAAAAACATCTGCAATAAAAGAAGGGAATTACCACTCGGCTGCACACTTTGGCCTTTGTGAGTAGTCCTATCTCAGGGAGACAAAAAGAAAGAAAGAATAAAAAAAGAAATCTCCCCGACTGGGAGTCGAACCCAGGTCTCCCGCGCTTGTAAGGACTAATCCATGACAAGCGGAAATCATGACCGTTAGACCATCGAGGACTTGATATCATGTGATTCTTGGATGGAATTATATCCTGGTGATAATCTTCGATCGGGTGGTATGTCCTTTCAAGCACGGGAAGTTGGAGGTAAAGACGGTGTAGGGAGAAAACTGAAAGGGTGATGAGAGTCTTGTAAGCCAGATGAGGTAGGCATAGTGTCGTGTTCAAATGTCAGTTTGGAAAGAAAAGACGAGGGTTCATCACAGTGTGTGGATAAGGATGTGACATGAAGAAGTACAGAAAGGAGATGAGAAGAAAGCATCAAAGCAAAAACAAAAGAAAAAGATAAACAATGTGTAGTGTAGTGTTGGTCACGTAGGCTACACTGTCATGAAGGAATCGGCATGGCGATTGCCGCCGAGGGCAACACGTCCACAATGATGAACAGAGACACGTATTTGTTCGCAACAGTGGAATCACTATGCTTCAGTCCCAGGCCAGTATGATTCCTGTTTCCCTGTATAGGATTATTTGACTGTGTGATGACTCCTAGTCTCATGGAGTAGATGGTTGAGTAGGAGGTCTAATAGTATCCATCACCAGTCAGTTCCTGTAGATGTAGGAGATGTAGAAATGTAGATTCAGACTTACCAGTCCCTTTTTTTCAAAATGCTAGAAAGCTCTCGGAAATGTTACGTTGTGGGATTTGTAGAAATATGATACGATGTGGAAAGTGGAGAGATTTGATATGAGAAGTGGATTGGGTTTACTATCCTTGATGAAGATCAGGATAGAAGCAAGAGGAGATGTGGAGAGGAAGAAGAAGAAGGTTGGATGAGATGGGAATCAGCCCTCTTTATATAGACAGAAAAATTGAACACATCTCCTGTTCCAGAGATATCATTGTTGTTATGGAAGTGATGGTGTTGTGAAGTGATCGCTTTGGTGATGGTGTACTCACCCATCACTGTCAACGCCAGATAGGATTGAAAGATCACTTTCTTTCTTCACCTGACTTTGGATTATATTAAGTTGACATTGTCACTCAAACTTTCTCTTCTTCATCTTTCTTTTTTTTACTTGATCTTGTGATGATTAAACTAACATGTTCAAACAGATGAAAGATACTATAACTTCAAGTTAGGGTTGAGTAAACAACAGTAGACTGTCCATTCGGTAGTGTCTACTATGTCAATTTTGCTGCTTCAATCAAAATCTACCGCAGTATGGCATGATATCTCCAATCCATTCTTCCATATAACGATAGAACAAATTGCACATGGTGGTATGTATAGTATACGGACGTCTGACATGGATAGCATCAACCTATGTCTATGGCAGTTCGACGAGTGTATAGAACGGGACGTAACTACGACTGTTGACACTTTAGGGAAGACTTTACAGACAGATCTCTACTACATTCTTTTCGAGTCAAAAGGACCCCCATCCATAAGGGGCATCTCTAAAAAGTAGTAAGTTCAGCAAAACACCATCACCTACAGCTTCACACCCAGCTAAGGGTATCAAGATCTACCGCCCTCTCTCAACCAAGTCAAAATCTTGATGCAAGCAATCCCAGTAAAGATACAACAACGACACCTACAGGCACATGAAATCAATCAACGGCCATGACAACACGGCCTGATCTTGAACATCTCATCATCAGTTCTTACAACGATACGATACCACATACGCCATTGCCACTGCATTGCCATCCCCTTACCAAGACATACGAAACAGCGACGGCTAACAGTCGCTCAGCATAACTTTGACACGACCTGCATAAATCTTCTACCTTCCAACAAGAATACAACACCTACCTACCTACCTACCTACCTATCTATCAAGCCAGAGACAACCACAGAGGTGACAACTCATCCCACCGGCCTATTACCCCAGTCAGAAGCACTTGCTTACCCCAACTACATCCCACACTCAAGACGAAAGAATCACGCAATCATCTATCATCTACACGATGCATTATCTATATTAGTATAAGCTTAGACCTACGTAGCACTGACTAGCCAGCTGCAAGTTCAAACTTAAACTTAGAAGCAAGCGAAGACAGAGCATACAAAATACAGTAGGGTGTAGGTAGTAAGCTATAGCTAACTAGGTAAGTACATGCTAGCTAGCTAGCTAGTTAGTAGCTGACCCCTCACAACACCCAACAGTCAACTTTCTGTCGTCATCAACGGCAGTAAGTATCTACACGGTATACCGACGCGACTCACGAGCCGACACCCCCACAGCAGTGATAGACGTAAACGTAGGCTAGGCGAGGAGCCTACATCAACTAACCAACGTCCCTCGTCTCTCCATCATCTGTACAAAATACATTATCACGGTATTTACTACCACTACCAAATAAGGTAAAAAGAACACTCAGTTAAACACAACCACCAAAGAGAAGACCAACCAACCACACCTCATAGATTAAAGCCCCATCAGCACACACTCAGGTGATCAAAAACAGACCCACCCACTAAGCACCTCTACTCCCACCTCCTATGGAGCCAACCCACCAAGGAAGTTAGTAGCAGGTTGAAAACCAGGAACCACTAAACTAGCCAGCTCCAGATAGATAGCATCAGCTATTAGCTATTAGTTAGCTAAGGTATTAGCTAAGATATTAGCTTAGAGCTACCTACTCCGTGGATACTACTCCGTAGTCTGTAGATACAGAGATAGAGAAAACAATAACAAACAACAACAAACACTCTCCACTATACCCACAACCCACACAATCCAATCCAATCCAATCCAACCCAATCCACACGAGTCACATCCAACCCACCCACGAGCTCAGAACAAAAAAAAAAACAAGACAAAAGTCTAGACAAGCGCCCAGTGGACCTACCCACAGCAGGAGCGTGAATGAATATTCTACCGAATTCCACCCCACCACTGCACCACACACCCACACCACACCACACCACACCCACTACCCCATTATTCCCCTTCTTTCCACTCCTCCTCCTCTTCCTCCTCCTCTCACACCCACTAGCAACAGCAGCTACAGCTAGCTAGCTAGTAGCTCCATCAGCAAATCAAGTGGAGACAAACCTAACCAACCAACCAACCAACCAAGTACCTACCTAAACAACAAGTGGACCGACCAACGCAGGAACGAGGAACGAGGCACACACACAACCGGCCAAGAAGTGGATCCCCCAGGCCGATCCAAATCAAATCCAATCTAGTCGGTGGTCGCTAGTCTGGGTGCTCATCAATTCAGGGGTTCGGTCGTTGTCTTCGTTCGTGGCTCGACTAAGTCCACTGTGTGAGGCGAGCTGGCCCCCCTCCCCCCCGGTCCTCCTCCCTGTCTACCTTTCTTTCTATCATTCTTGCTCTCTCTTCTTCTTTGAAAAAATTGTGCCGAGGTCGTTCTTTGGTCATGCTATACTGTACTTCGTAGATCCATGGTAGAAGAACCTGGGAAGATACCAGTACAATCTCTAAATAACTACAAAGTATGTACAGTAGAAGAGAAAAAGCTAGTTTAATAAAGAAAGCTATGTTGTTTGGATGTTTTTTTTTATTTTTTATTTTTTTCTTTGAACCATTGATTGACTAAATTTACCACTATTAATGACATACATACATGTAAAAGAAAAAAATTTGACTCTATCAAGCTAGAGCAAAAGAAAGAAAAAGAAATGAAAAAAGTCTATAATACTGTTAAAAAGGGTAGCAAGCTGGTCGGAGTGTAAGCGACCAGCTCATGCATGTATGCGCAAAGTGATATCCAGTTTAGTTCGGTAGGGGAAAATTATTAGGAAATGAGCGTAACAAGCGTTTACTCGTCCTCCTCAGGGTCAGCCTTGGCGCCCAGGGTGTAGCGGGACTTGCCAGTGTTGGCATCGACCTCGTGCTCGATCGCCAGCTTGGACAGATGGCCAAGCAGGTTCTCGATCTTGGTGTCGGCCTGGCTGCGGTTCTTGCGGCCGAGGGTGTCCAGAGCGGGGATGATGCTGAGCACGTAGTAGACGACCGCGATGATGATCGTGACACCGATGGAGTAGGCCCAGATGACAACGACGGTGACGATATCGACATCGCCGTTGATGGAGAACTCGGCGCTGGACGGGGGGCTGGTCTGGACGTAATCGCCGGAGAGCCAGCCGAAGACACAGAAGAGGGTGGCGATCACGTCGACGACGAAGATCGCACCGACCAGCTGCCACGAGGGCCAGGTCTTACCACCACGGGTGACGAAGATCAGCCAGTTCTCGGTCAGGGCAACCTCGAGGAAGAGGATCTCCTGGGGAGAGCCGAAGTTCTGGATGATACCGCCGTTGGAGAGGAAGAGGGTAGCACGGATGATCCAGGTGGCGGCGGCCAGGAGTATACCGAGGACGACGGAGATGACCCAGATCTTAGGCAGCTG